CGGTGAGATCTCGACCCGCTATACCCAGATGAAGCCTCCTGGCTAGCCTCCTGCATCTGTATGTCTTCTTGCCCGCGGTTTGGGTCTTGGGGTCCCAAACGCTGGCGCATCTCCGGTCGTAGACGATCAAAAGCTACCGCCCGGGCAACTTCTTCAGGGTCCTCCGCTTGGACGGCCTGAGCTGGTGCCTCCATCGCATCAGCACCCCCCGACCCCAACCGCGAATGAGCCGAGCGTCGAGCCCGGGATGCGGACTGACGCTGCGGCTCTACCTGTGCGGTCGGTTGTACTGGAGGGGCGGCGGCTGGAGCTGTATAAGCCGGCGTATATGGTGGATAACCAACCGGGGGAGTGTAGCACATTGGTTGGCCTGGCCAATACCCATATGGGGGAGGTGGGACCGGGTATGGATACTGTGCGGGATACATCATCGGCTGCTGCTGGTATGGCAGACCGGGTGTTGGGTATCCCGGTTGTATGTAATTCACCGGCTGCTGGGCGGCCGGGTATGCATTTGATGGATGCGGTGGTGAGAGGTTGAGGTTGAGGTCCATCGTCTGACCCTGCTGTTGGGTAGCATAGTGGTCGGAGGAGCTCGTCGCATCCGCCTGGTCGTCGGCAAAGTTGTTGTGTGCCCACGGATACATGTTGATATAGAGACCGGGTGCTCGTCGAGACGTTGGTTTCTTGCACGGGTCCCCACAGACGGCGCCAAAATGATACTGCTAATTATACGTAAGCAATATGAAATAAGCCGAGACCGAATAAAGCAAGTAAATGTCTTTATTGATCACGGTAAAGGCCCTAAGTACAATCTACTTGGTTGCTCTGAGTACCGACTGACTGCGGTCGGGATTCTCTAACAACAACCTATCGATCGTCCAAAAGTCCCCTACACTGTAGCTACTGTGGGTATTTATAGCCGCTATGCCGGGGACAGGATTCCAGCCGTTCGGCATGTCCTCCACGTAGCCACCACGTGTCGTCCTCCCGGGTGCCCTGTCTGTCGTCGTAGAGAATCGCCACGTGTCTTTCGTCAGCTCTCTCGCCAAAGAGCTACCGCTCGGCGGTCGACACCGTCGCTCGGGCAACTCCCGGTCGGCCCCCGACCGGGTTCTTCTCAAGGAGCCCGACCTGTTACCTGCAAAGACAAAGAGAAAAAGACAAAGGCTTCTCAGTCGTGGTGAAGCTATGTCGGTCGGGATATTCCCTACCAACCCTATAACTTAGGGACGAAAAATGCAATTTTTCTTAAAAAAAATATAAGGAAACCAATTCGACTATGAAACCAAAACCTTGTTCAAGATTTTTTTTTTTTAAAAAAAAATACTTAAATGATTTCGATTTGTTGGACTAAATCTTACCCCACAAGAACTTGTTTTTAGAGTTTAAAGTAAATTACGATTTACGTAAGTCTTTTTCCTATTAATGTTTTTAATGGGATTATTGGATTTGAACTTTTACACTGATACGTTTGATCGTGACATTAAATCAGATAATGAATTACTATGCTAATTAGATCAAAGATTGTTTGTGATATTTTTATGAATTCATGTCTACTACAACTTTATCACTTTTTTTGAGTGGTGGAAGTCTTCAAGAAGGAATATCTATGCTTCATGTGTGACGCCAATAATTCACGTATAGTATTTGGGATTCTATAAGAATTAATTCAAATCTAATTCGAATTATGTTTACCGAGTTTAACCCTACTCGAACTCTTATTTGAAGATAAAGATTGCGGTTCAGGAATTTACACTTGCGTTTATATACTTTATAGGCAGTTTAAGGAGGACGGTGTTCGAACCCCCAAATAAAAAAACCTCTTTTTATACGACAAAGCCCGAGTACGAGCCAAAACACTCATCGTCTTCTGAATTTGGCTCTCTCCCTCCTCTTCTCTTCTGTAGAAAACCTCTGAAAAAGCGCTATGGGGAGAGGAAAGTTCAAGGGAAAGCCCACTGGTCGCCGCCAGTTCTCCACTCCTGAGGAGATGAGTACGTCTTCCTTTCTTCTCTCTCTCTCTGTATATAGATACACACATTCACATATATATTATTATGCACGAATATCAATGTGCTTGTGGGCATTCGCCGCTTGCTGTGGATGGCTTGGTTGATTTTAGATCTCTTGTTTTTTCAATATGGTGTTTATGGGTTTAGAGATTTGATTGGATCGTTCAATATTTGGTTGGTCTAGGGTTGAAAGTTGCTGAATTTTGGGATGGGTTTGGAGTATTTTTTGGGTTGGGTTATGGAATGAGATTGGATTCTTAGCTGGAGTTAAGCTTGATTTGGGTGTTTCTTGGATGATGATTTTGTTCATAATTGATTGCGGAGACTCTAAGTGACTGAAATAGATAGAGGGTATCTTACTTTAATTTTTTATTATAGAAGGATGATGCCTATAATATTAAAAGGGGGACAGTTAGTTCTACCTAATTACAAAGTTTTGCTGGTACCATATTGATGAATTTATTGGTGACTTTTGTTTTCTGTAAATAGAGTATACTTATGAGATGGTGTGGTAATATTGGAAGGGAGAGGTACTTAAAAATAACCGGTATTGAAATTCGGTAAGGATTACTAAGGAACATGAATAGTCGTGATCAGATCTTTTATTTGCAGTACTGCCATGGCTATTCATGATCTATCCATTTTACTAGTTTGTATTTGAGATTATTAGATATGCTTGTCTGATGCTGATTTTAATGGCACATCTGATGGTGGTTTCTGAAATAAACGAAGTAAAAGGAAAATGATTACAATGGTGTCATAACATTCTTTACTTGCATTTGTCTGTCTCTTCTTGTGAGAAGCTAAAATTAAGACTCAACCTTGTTTTCTTTGTAATATACCACCTTATGAATTCTGAAATAGCATTAGGTGTCTATACACTTTGGTTTTTTTTTTTTTTTTTTAGGGGGGGTGGGGGGGTGGGGATATATTTTTGTGATTATACTAGAATTAGCTTTTTAGGTGCTATCTTGTATTTTTGTCTATACAGAATATGTGATTCCTAATATGTTAATATTGACTTTGCTATCTTGTATTTTTGTCCACTTCTAGAGGCTGGTACCTCAGCGGCTCGTCCTCGCACATTTAGAAAGGTATGTCATCATATTATATTATAATGTGTGTGTTTGTGCGTCTATGCGTGATTTCATTTCGACACACATCTGGAAGCATTAGTTGTTTGGAACATGGCTTTCTGCAAAACAGAGGTTTAGTGTGGAACTCAAAGTTCTGAATTCCAATATTAAGATATCCAAACTTTTATTGGGAGAGCCGAGTTATAGGGCATCATCTTATCTTTAAATTGCATCTACTTTCATACGTATAGCTTCATTTGAGCTGATTTTATCTTGTTGCTTTGTTAGGAAGAAGCCGAAGTTGAGGAAGAGGAGATATCTGAGAATGAGTCTGGAGAGGAATCTGAAGGGTCTGATAAAGACCAGGTATGTAAATTCTTGCTCGTATAGCATCTTTCTGGAGTTTGTCCCATAAGTTTATGCTTACCATTAGACTGCTAGCATTTCAATTTTCACCAACTGTAACTTCTGAACAGAGGCAAAAGGGTTTACAGGGCATCATCGAGATTGAGAATCCTAACTTAGTGAAGGCTAAGAATCTGAAAGCCAAAGACGTGGATGTAAGATCGAAAGATTAGTTGTCTACTCTCCAATGACTATCGTGCTATAGTTTCTTATGGTTCTTTCATTTTGCAGATGGAGAAAACAACTGAACTTTCAAGACGTGAAAGGTCTGTAAAACTATCTGTTTCTTGTACTAGAGTAATATTATTGAGATGCCCTTTTCCACTCCGCATTTCTTATGGAAATCTTTGAATGCCATTAGGGAAGAGATAGAGAAGCAGAAAGCTCATGAACGTTACATGAGGCTCCAGGAACAAGGGAAAACTGAGCAAGCAAAGAAAGACTTAGGTACATAGTATTTTCTCGTCATAATTGCCCGATACTAGTGTTCTGCATACTCCTCTCTTGCATGAACCACTCAAGTGTATTGTTAAACTTGCAGAACGCTTGGCCATGATAAGGCAACAGAGAGCAGAAGCTGCTAAGAAGCGCGAAGAGGAGAAAGCTGGTATTATTTCTGAGATAACCCAGAACCTCTTTTGTATTTTGTCCTTTAATTTTGTTGGGCTTATTCATCTAATTTCATTTGTTTGATTATTTCCCCTGCACAGCCAAAGAACAGAAGAAACTGGAAGCGCGAAAGTGAGATTTCGTGAATGCTTAGGAATGAATTCAAACGGATCTTCCTTACTATTTATATGTAGCTATAACATATGAAGACTAGTAATAGGGGTGTTATGTGCAAGTTTATTTTCATGCTTCTCCAAATAGATGGGTTTCCAAGTTTTCAACTTTCCTACGTTTGTACTTTTTCTCTATTGTTGCTTGTTTCCTAAAAACTTGGATACTATATTTTGTTGACATATGTGCATTTGATTGTCAGTTACGGAGTATCATTTACTGATTTAATACCTCACCAAATAGAATTTGTTAACTTCAATAAACAAATATAAGTACATTTCTTTGTGTGCTCCAGGTTAAAGTGATACGATTTTCTTAATTATTGTTTGTAGTTTAGAATTTCTCCTTTTATCTCAGAATGAAAGGGTGTTTTACACATGAATGGAGTTTATCTTTTTGAATAATTTTAGATGATAATTAAAGATCAAATTATGTACAAATAAGAGGTGATTTGCACATGCTTAGTTCACTGATTCAGTAGGCGGTATTTACCTACACTGGTTGACTGGTTCAGTAGGTAGTTTTTAAGAAAAGAGACGTTAAGAATTGAGATTAATGTTCGAACTTCAACAACGACAATTGTCTTTCCTATTGCGCCAGTCGAATGTTAGACCGGGATGTGGGGCCATTGGAGCTAGACCGGGATGTGGGGTCATTGGAACTGGGATTCAAACTTTCGAGAGAGATAGGTGGAGGTGAATAATAAATATAAATATAAAACAAAAGCTCTTGTGATTTCAGCTTCTTTGTTGGTGAATCTTCACTTCTGCGTTTGGCACCGCCATGTCCGAAATTGAGTCTCAAAAACCTAAGCCTGCGCACAACTTCCCTCCTCCACCTTCAAGTGACTCACGGCAGGCCAGAGTACCGATTCAGAGCTCCAATGGAGGTGGGTTTTCTGGCGGTCAATCGTTCCCTAACCCACCCGACCGGGTGAACCCGGACCCGGCCACTCTCAGGGAGCAATGGAAATTCGCAATTAGGCAGTATAGCAAGTGGTATTCGCACGCATGGGGCACTGCGATACTCGCGGGTGCATCCTTTTTTGCTCTTGGATGGATCATTAAAGGCGGCAACCCCTTGCCCTCTCTCGAGTCGGGTCGCAAGAACGCTCTATCTGAAGATCCAAATGCTGCTGTCGAGGTCAAAAAGTGAAAAAAATAATAATAATATGAACTTTATTTTGGGTCAGTATTTAAGTCTTTATATTTCCCTTTCTTTCGCTTATATATCTTCGCAGTATTGTTTATGGGAATCTTTGATTGCTTGAATAATTGCCAATTTTTGAGTTGTTTTGCTTGAGCTCTGGGGTTTTGCTGTTTCTGAAGTTCAGTTCTTGGTTGGCCAGCTTGTTTATAATCCCTACTGTTTTCCAATTTCATTACACATATATTTGGAACTGCATGAATCTAACTGGCTATGGCATATAAATAACCAGAGCAAGTATCAGGATTGGATATTGATGAAAGACATTAATAAATTCCACCAAATTGTTACATGTATACTTCGAGGTAAACCAGCTTAAGTTACCCATAACGGACAAGAAGACCGATAAGTCACTCTCGTTGGGAGTCGAACTTATACACCAACTTAGGTTGCCAAGTCACGCCTTACCAACTTGGCTGGGGTTGGGGACTTATAACTTATCCAGTCAACTAGGCTCTTCTATGGCAAAACATTTAACTTTTAGATAAATGTAAATCTTTGATTATTAGGCTACAGACAATGTTCCAAAAGATAGGCTTCACTCATCGACCTTTCATAGGCTATGGTTAATGCTGAGAGGTACTGCAAATGTAGCCACAATTGCACTGTATTCTTATTCGATGATGAATTTCACACGAGAGGCAGGGTGAATACCTTTTCTAATGTAGCAAAACACGAGGGAAATTTTACTTTCTAAGGCTTAATTTGCATTCCCTACATATACTTGCCTATTGCCTATACTTCTAAAAGAAATTAGATAAACTCAGATCAATCAAGTAATGATGTTTCTTTGAATATGCATATGTAATGATTTTCTTTATACATCTAGTAAGGGATTCATAAAAAAATGAGAGGGGGTGTCGAACTAGGTATATATAATTGAATGACTATTGTAGAAGTTTCGATGCTTGATTCGCTAACACACCAAAGCTGTCCTGTTAACTCTGCAGAGTTTCAAAAGCTCAAGACTGGTTCGTTGGCATCTCGGTAGATGAAAGGCTGGTGGGTGAAAACTAGAACGGGGAAGATATGAGCTTGGTTCAGGATAAATATTCTCCAGCAGGGTGCAGTAGATCACAATAAAGAATGGCAATGACTTGAAATTTCTGTAATTATCCAAAATTTTCTGTGTGAATAGAATAAGATATATACCATGTGCAAGCTTTGGCTTGAAACTTCTTGCACTCCTGTGGTTGTGTTAAACAAAGATGAAAAGAATGAGATAATGAAAGTTTCCCTTTTTACATGCATATTCAGCATGGCAATTGCAAAAGTGTTAGAAAATTTATTACTTTCAGGTCAAATGGAATTCACACAAAACTACAAAAGATGAGTTCTTAGCTGCAAATTCTTCTTTCTTGACATTTGTATAGAGGATCCTTAATTTTTGGTTGGCTAATATAGTAGGCTCTACTATACATTGTCTAATGTTAAGTCCTCCCTTGATTTTATGCATACTTTCTCTTCCTGCCTCTGATCTTCTTCTCTCATGATTGGATTTCTTCCTTGATTATGTAGAACAACACCCACCACTGCCTTTAGAATTCTCTGCAATGTTGATTGCCTTTCCCCGGGGCAGAGCCATCGGATCATCACCAATGTCAAGGGCCTTCCGGCTGGTGATCCGGTAGATCTGAGTCAGCACCTCGGTGAAGGCCATCTCGACGTTAAGTGCCTCCATTGCAGAGGTTTCAATGAAGAAGGTATTCTCCCTCTCTGCAAATGCTTGTGCAGTCTGGGTGTTTACAGCTCGCAGGTGGCGGAGATCCGCCTTGTTCCCTACAAGCATGACCACGATGTTCTGATCTGTGTGATCCCGCAGCTCCCTCAGCCATCTCTCCACGTTATCGAACGTTATATGCCGAGTTATGTCATAAACAAGCAATGCCCCCACCGCTCCTCGATAATAAGCACTCGTAATTGCCCGGTACCTACAACATCAGCAAAAAGAGTCAGGCCTGAATCACGCCCAAAGACCTGTAAGAGGAGGTAAATCGCGGGATTTGCCTCGGTGCAAATGAATATTATTGCATGTTTACCTTTCTTGGCCAGCGGTGTCCCAAATCTGAGCCTTGGCGAGCTTATCATCGACCTCAATAGTGCGGGTGGCAAACTCGACACCGATGGTGGATTTGGACTCGGAGCTAAACTCATTGCGGGTGAACCGCGAAAGCAAGTTGGATTTCCCGACGCCGGAATCACCTATCAGCACCACCTTAAACAGATAGTCGTAATCTTCATCCGCCCTATAAGCCATTAGAGTAATTATCTTTAGCTAGCTTATTTGGTGCTCTAACTAATAGGCCTAAAATGGTTATGTTGGTGCGTAAGGGAAGGAGGGATAGTTACTACGTCTGTGAAAACAATAGAAAGAGATCTCCGATCCCTCCGAATGATAAGGAGGGAAATGAGTGTGGGCAATCATCTAAGCTCTTAAGGATTATATTATAGGTTTGTTATGGTCGAAAACGAGTCAAGTTCGGTGGTAAACTACTAAGATTCAATTTGATGGCTCATAATCAATTTGATGGAGAAATGGATAAGCAATGAGATATTCAGGTGATTCATATATATCAACAAAAAGAAAGGCGGATTAACTAGTAGAAATGGCCACGGTTCGATTTGAGGGCAAATTATTAGGTGGATCATAGTCCATACAGTGTTATGTGGACCATAATAAAAAGTATATTTTTAATATACTTAATGTACATCATTTTTGTACTGAATATACATTATTTTACAGTATACAAAATATGGTTTAGGTCCACACAATAATGATTGCGATTTAAAGTTCATGATTTATCATTGACAAAAAATTGTAACCCAAACCTTTATTATACAGTTCACGATTGTCCCTGAACTGAACATTTTTGTATTTGGTATTTTAATTTTAAATAAAAAAATAAAAAATAAATTACATAAACATGATACATTTCATATTTTAAAATTTGATTTTTTTTTCAAAAAAAAAAATTGAAAATTTAAGTTTGAAAGTATTACAATTTACTCCATCTGTCTCATTTTATCTGTCTTACTTTCCTTTTTAGTTTGTCCCAAAATGTTGTCCTCTTCCCAAAATTAAACATCGCCATCATTCTACTTTTTTCAAAGAGTTAATACCCAAAATGTCCTCGACTATAGTGGTTTTCTCAATTTCGTCCTAAACGACTTTGGTGACCTAATATCGTCCCAGATTTTTGTGTTTCGCTCAATTTAGTCCTCCATTTGTTATTCCGTCAAATTGGTGTTAAATAAAGGGACAATTCAGTAATGTCAATATTGATCTCTCTTTACTTTCAACTTGTGAAGTGCGAAATTCCTCTTTCTTGTACGAATTACACCCAGAATTACTCCCGGACCTGCAAATCAAATTTTATATTCACAGTTTTAGGAGTAATTCTGGGGGTAATTCGTAAAAAAAAAAAAGGATTTTGCAGTTCACATGTCTATAAGTAAAGAGATGCCAATATTAAAATTACTGAATTGTCTATTTATTTAACACCAAATGGACAGAATAACAAATGAGGGATTAAATTGAGAAAAACACAAAAGTCTGGGACTAAATTGAGCGAAACACAAAAGTCTGGGACGATATTAGGTCACCAAAGTCGTTTAGGACGAAATTGAGAAAAACCACTATAGTCGATGACGATTTTGGGTATTAACTCTTTTTTCAAATTACCCTTATGACTTTTGCTTTCTTTATTATTTTTGTTTCCAAAAGTGAAAAAGTGAGGGGCATAATTGAAAAAGTACATAGCATTTACTTTAGCGTGTAAAAGCAAATGAGACAACCAATTCGGAACGGAGGGAGTATTAAAAAGAAGAGCTTGCATTTAGTTTTATCAAACATAAGCTGTTTGTTTTTTTTTTTTTTTTTTTCAATTAAAATGTGTCCATGCCCCTATCCCAAACAATGAGAGAGGAACAGAAGTATAGATGAACAACCGACAACGTGTTTGGTTTGATGGAAAAAGCTTTTCAAGGAAGTCAATTTCTTAAAAGGGGTAATCGCACTTTTGATCCCTCAATTAGTGTCCATTCTGCAATGTCATCCTTAGTTCCTAATTTGAACACATTTGGTCCCTCAATTATTCGACCATTAAGCAGATTTGGTCCTTCAGTCTGTATGGCCGTTTAACACCGTTTAAAGCATGGGTAAAAGTGGAATTTCACACAGCATTGTTTATAATAAGTAGGGTAAATCACACTTTTGGTCCCTCAATTAGTGTCCAATCTGCAATGTCATCCTTAGTTCTCAATTTGAACACAATTGGTCCCTCAATTATTTGACCATTAAGCAGATTTGGTCCTTCTGTGAGACCATCAGTTTAACTCCGTTTAAATTAGGGGTATAATTGAAATTTCACATAGCCTTGAATATAATAAGCTAATTTTTTCCCCTTTCTCTGCCCAGTTGTTATTTCCGCCTCCGCAGATGCTCCGCCACCGTCGAGAAATGTCTCGGCATCCACCATTTGCAAGTCCACTCCCTACCCATCTTACTGCCAAACTGTTCTCCCCAACAACAACTCTTCTTCCAATGTCTAAGACTATGGCCGATTCTCCGTCTGCAAATCCTTATCCGCTGCGCGCAAGTTTCTGTCATTGATCCAGAAGTACCTTCGCCGCAATTCCAAGTTGTTAACCACCACCGCCGTTTGAGCTCTCAAGGATTGCGAGTTCCTCGCCGGTTTAAACTAGGATTATCTCTCCAGTTCTTTCAAGACTGTCAACGGGACTTCCCGGTATCTCCTGGTGTTGGAAGCCAATGACGTGCAAACATTGCTTAGCGACATTCTCACCAACACGCAAACGTGTATAGACAGCCTGCAAGCGACTCTTCGGCTTAGAGCGTTAGGAATGGGATCGTGGTGCCGCTGGCGAACGACACGCGGCTGTTTAGTGTTTCTTTGGCTCTGTTCACTAAAGGGTGGGTGCCGAGGAAGAAGAAGGCCGCCGGCGCCAGAGCTTGGCGTCCGACCAAGAAACAGCTTGGGTTCCGAAACGGGCGTTTGCCTCTGAAGATGTCGGAACGGACAAATGCGATTTTCAAGCGAGTTAGCCGGAGAAAGCTCCTGCAAACTCAGGAAGATGACCAGGTTTTGGTGACTGACATTGTGGTTGTGAGTCAAGATGGGAGTGGAAATTTTACCACCATTAATGACGACGTCGCCGCTGCTCCCAACAACACTTTGTCCTACGGCGGCTACTTCCTCGTATATGTGACTGCAGGCGTGTACGAAGAATACGTCTCCATTGCCAAGAACAAAAAATACTTGATGATGATCGGCGACGACATTAACCAGACCATCATCACCGAAAATCACAGCTATGTTGATGGCTAGACTACTTTCAATTCTTACTCATGTGAAATTTCAATTATACCCCTGATTTAAACGGAGTTAAACTGATGCATGGTCTCACAGAAGGACCAAATCTGCTTAATGGTCAAATAATTGAGGGACCAATTGTGTTCAAATTGGGAACTAAGGATGACATTGCAGATTGGGCATTAATTGAGGGACCAAAAATGCGATTTCCCCTACTTATTATAAACAATGCTATGTGAAATTCCACTTTTACCCATGCTTTAAACGGTGTTAAACGGTCATACAGATAGAAGGACCAAATCTGCTTAATGGTCGAATAATTGAGGGACCAAATGTGTTCAAATTGGGAACTAAGGATGACATTGCAGAATGAGCACTAATTGAGGGACTAAAAGTGCGATTTGAGAAAATATTATTTTTCCTTACTTGGTTCATGAAATTTATTTTTCAATGAAAATATAATTTATCACATTTGAAAAAAAAAGTTTTTCAATTTCAACATTTGTATTTTGTTTTTCATGATTTTTTTAATGCTTACTTGATAAGACAATTTTAGTCTCATCGAATTTTCTTAATTACCCTTATTATTATGGGTAATTATTATTATTATTATTATTATTGTGTAAGATATTTTGGAAGCTGAAGACTCCTCCTAAGGTCCAAAACTTTTTATGGCGCTGTTTGCAGAATGTCATCCCTACTTTGGTGGCTCTTCAAGGTCGAAGGGTAGAGGTTGACACTGTTTGTCCATTATGCCAACAACAGCCGGAAACATTGAGCCATTTAATGTGTAACTGTGTGAAGGTGAGTCCTCTGTGGAATGAACTCCTTAATTATCCCCTCCCTCAAGTTGATGATTTTGGTGTGTGGCTGGCTGGTATATTGACAGCAAATGATACAGATAAGAAAATCTTGGTTGCTGCAGTTTGCTGGTGTGTTTGGAAGGGTAGAAATGCGTTGGTTTGGAATGCAAAGGATTGGCATTACAGTAATATTAAAATGGAAGTCCTTTTTTTGCTTCATGCATGGAATATAGCAGACACAACAAATCTGCATGATAGAGTTCACACGGCTACAAGTGGTAATTATTTATCAAACTTGGGTGATGCCATTAGAGTTTATGTTGATGCTTCTGTGTTAAATGGTGATGCCGGAACTTGCTATGGTTGTGTGGTTTTTGACAGTGAGGGGACTTTCGTGGGGGCAAAGAATGGACCGCTACGTTGCTTAAACGATGTACACTTCGCAGAGGCTTTGGCTGTGAAAGAGGCTTTATCCTGGGTCAAAGATTTAGGCTACACCAAGGTTGCTATCCTATCCGATTGTCAAGTGGTTTGTACTCTCCTTAATGGGTCCGGATCTAATCATTCGTACGCTGGTTGCGCGATCAATGCCTGCAAGGAGTTTCGTAGACACTTTGAAGTAGTGTCTTTCAATTATATATCTAGATCAGTGAATAAGTGTGCTCATGCCTTAGCTAGAGCGGCTTTTTCGCAACCTGGTCCTTATACTTGGTTTTCTTCTATTCCTACGTGTATTGAGCAATTAATTTAATAAAAGCTTTGTTTTTTCCTTCAAAAAAAAAAAAAAAATCTTTATGATATATCTCATATAGTCATATATATATATTTATCAAAAATCTAGAACAGAAACTGTTAGAAGTCATGAAATTGAAATGTAATCGAGAGGAAAATACATGCAGCTGGCCGTGTCAGGAAAAGTGATGATTTATGATGATTATCCAATGTGACCCTTCGTGCAAAATGAACTGCTCACAGTGACGTAGAGATGAGACAGCAGCAAAGGAATTTCTTGCACATTATCACACTGATATGACATTTCTAAATTACTCATTATCATATCTTCCATCAATCAAACCTAGCTAGCTAGCTACCCGGCCATATGGTGATAGGTATAGGTTGTCTGATCTCACTGTTCTTTACATTTTTTACGAAACCTCATTTTATTCTGCACCACCCAACCGCCAGCACAACAAAACTTACCAAATTAAACTTCCCATTACAGCTTACAGTAGTTTGCAGATGAAAGTCTTAGCAGACAAGTCGGGGTTTATATATGAGTGCAAGCAATTCAAAAATGCTGCACCCATGGACTGAACAGTCAATGTCAAAATGATTCCTTTCTAGCTACCACAAAATCTCACCAAAGAAGATGCATGCTTACATTGATACAACATATAACTATACAAAGCAATCAAGGCCAGCTAGGGCCAGTTATAGGAAATCTAAACTGCTTTACTTCCTTTGGGGTCATTTGTCGGTTAAGGTTACAAGATCTGATTTACCCGTGCATATCTTAAGGTAGTGGCTGCAGATTTCCCTCGTCAATCAAAAGGAAATTGAGTAATTGATGAGGCACACAAGTAATTGAGAGTGTGCACTGTACTCTATAGACCTTGTTCGTTTTTATGTGTAGACTTATGGCCAACTTAATCAACTAATGAACACAGTTAGCTTGGGTTAAGTCTTTTTCATCCTAGCTAGCTGTAAATTAAATACCACCATTCTAGTTTTCAAGGTCACATTTTTTTGTTGTTATAGATGTCTTAAGCAGTCCCTAACTGTAGGAGACACCTTTAAGCCTATATCCTACTCAGACTAATTTCTATTTGCACCAGGCTGACCCAATTAAAGGGCAAAGTGCTGACCAGATTAATTTTTCTATACGAGGGGGTGTTCGAACTTTCGACCTCTCTTAAAGGACGAGCTGAGAGTGCACAATCACTCTCGCCAATCAAACTAGTTTCAAGGTTACAAATTTGATTGATGTGATAAGTGTCATCATTCCACAGTAATAACATCTTGATTCCTGTAAAAAATGGGCTGATTCTCTGATCAAATGTATTATTTCAAAATTTTGTTTTTGATCACAGGCCAAATAATAGTTAGGTGAATGATGAAGGGGAGAGGGGATATATATGATGCATGTGCAGGATTGTTCTTATTTGGTAATGGGGAGAATAGGGGAGTGGTGACATTAAAGAAAGGGTTATATGTTACAGCAAAATGCCAAAATATTATTCTTACTTGTGAATTGACAACACACTAGCTGGTAGTAATCCTATATACCTAGCTAGCTAGCTACCTAGTCTCAACCATAATACTGTTATCATCATAGGCAGGTAGCCTTAAAATAGATGAAACAAGATCATGTGCAGCTACTGTGTCTAAAAGCTAATTTCCTATTGTCTACCTCTAAATCTCAATGTCATCTACACCACATCTTTCAACGCCAGCATAGCTTGCATTTATTTTCTTGAAAAAAAAAATTGCATTCCAATTACTACCCCCACTCTCTAGTCCTATTATGATATCAACAAGTTTTTTGAAGTGTAAATACACGATATGGTCATTTGTTTTTTTTTTTTTTTAAAGCATGAATCATGATACAGTTTGATTAAGCGGGTTAAAATATAATACATCGTTGAATTTTAATGATTGAATAGTATGACATGCAGTAGTGAAAGTATTCTTTATATACTTATTAGAGTTAATACCCAAAATAGTCCCTCGACTATGTCGTAATAATTACCAATTTGGTCCTCGACTATCATTCTTACCCAATTAAGTCCTTAACTATACAATTTTTACCCAATTTAGTCCTTTGTCAATTTAACTGTTTGTTGACTGTCAAAAGTGGAAATAAAGTTGTAATTTTACAAGTTTTCTCCTTCCTCCTCATTTAGCAGCGCCAAACCATGTAGCAATAAGCTCCGGTTAGGTTCTAAACCTGTCAGTATCGAAGTAGTGGTTATGCATCGGATAGCCCATGAATTTGATTTCCAACGATTTTTTGACGATTGAAATCTGATCGGAGTGTATTGCTGCATGGTTCGGCGCTGCTAAATGGAGAGGAAGGAGAAATCTTGTAAAATTATAATTTTATCCCGACTTTTGACAGTCAACAAACAGTCAAATTAATACAGAGGACTAAATTGGGTAAGAATTGTATAGTTGTGGACTAAATTGGGTAAGAATTGTATAGTTGAGGACTTAATTGAGTAAAAGTTACATAGTTGAGGACTTAATTGGGTAAGAATGATAGTTGAGGATCAAATTGGTAATTATGACATAGTCGAGGGACCATTTTGGGTATTAACTCTAGTTATTATTAGTTGAGCTCAATATTAATTTATTAAGTTCTATTACATATGTTCATAAAATTCTAAGGTGGTTGTATTGTTTATCATATACAAATAGTGAAATTGAAATCTCTAACAAGTTAGTGAAGTCTTCTATTTATATTAGCTTGTGAGGCAAGAAAAAACATGTTGAAGATCTCTTAATGGAGTCGACGTGGTGTCTCAAGCTAGTGAATTCTTATATTTATATTAGCCATCGAGACAAAGAGTAACATGTTGAAAATTCTCCAATAAAATCAGTGTGACGTTTCTTAACTGGGTGCTTAGGTCGGTCATGGCAAGTGGCCGTTATTGGTGTGACAACCAATAATGAATCAAAACAATCAAATCTATAGTTACTTTATAATCCTATCAATCCCGACCCCAAAGTAGGAATTACGCCTTTATCTTGTAACAACCAATGAAGCACAACTATTAACTTCTACACATTTATTTTTCTAATTATACATGTTGACAATCTTACAATATCCTATGTTCTACAAAGTTATATTTTGAACTTCGTGTGTGTGTGTGTGTGTATATATATATATATATATATATATATATATATATATATATACAAAGAGAATACACATTTTCAAAGCACATAATACACTTAAAAAAACGACCAAGTATACATTGTAAAATTGTACTACTAATGTGTACCGCATTTCCTCTATATTTTCCTTCCATGTTTAACTAAAATAAATTAACATAATGCACCACAAGTCTAGAACACTAAAAATAAATTTCTATATTGATAATTATTCTTAGGCATAGTCATATGTCACATTCTCACTTCATGGGACACGTAATGATAGAACTCATAGAGGTATAATAATGAGTAATGACAACTATATGTTATATATAAATTTCAATCTTCAATTTAAGAGTCATTGATCATTCCTGCCTTAAAATTAGTAGAGGAAGTAAATCGTGAAATTTGTCTCAACTGTTCAACAAGCTTTCATATATATGTTATTATTGTTAACCACCTAAGTGTATGAGTGTATCCAGAGACAACTATATGTTATATATATGTGTGTATTATTTAGGGAAAATAAACTAGTTTATTATTTAGTACTGGGCATGAACACATTACATAAGAGAGGTGCATAGGTAACCCACAATTAGGATGTTCCAAGAAATAAAAAACCAAATTAATTACTGATTTTTTTGTTCCAATCAGTTTCCAAAAGCAGAATTTAATTAGGAATTGGAGACGACGAAATTACAGATACTACGTAAATAGCTAAGAGCCTAACAACATTCCATTGATCCTTCAATTAAGTTTCCATGAATCATTCACATGCAGCTTCTTCATATCTTCTAAATCTGCAATTAACCAGAAAACAAAATAACTAGATAGTTTACAAAAGAATAATCTATATATATATGTTCTACACAGATTTAAATACCAACCGGTGGCGGCGCCAGCATGATCAGTTGTAGGAGATTATTATGTGCGAACTAAGTAATAATAAGCGCCGTCCTGAAGTGGATCAAGGGTTAGTCCCCATTCATTGGTAAGGAGGGGCTGGCCGGAGGAATAATGAATGAGCACCGCGTCATCACCAAACGCCGCCTTCACGTTCAAGTGCGCCGCCGCGACCTCGAATGCCAAGTCGTTTATGAACACCGTCGATTTTGCAGGACCCGTCACTCCGCCACCTGCACCACCACACAATAAAATCAATCAATCCTTCCCATATAGACGTCATTTGTTATTTTGTAAAAGTAGGAATATATACAAGTACTTGGAGGCGGAACGGCGGCGGCGAAGCCCATGAGTTCGGTGATCAAAAGGTTTGGAGAATTCTCAACCACCGTGGTCTGATCAGAAACAGTAGAAACGGCAGGGAAGCAGAGCGTTTGTGTGAACGCGCCGCCATCGGAAGAAGCAAAACCAGTTGAGGTTTGATGGATGGAAGGCGGTTGAGTCAACAACTCATTGCGTGCATGAAAAAAGCTGTGCCGGTGATTCGCAGAATCATTAGGAGATGATTTATCGGAAGAAGACGATGACGAAGACGGTGAGGGGCCGGGTATGAGAGGAGGAGTGGGGTTTTGTTGCGGCGGCGGCGGCGATTTTGTGGAGGTTTGGAGGTGGCGGAGTTTGTGCTTGGTTCTTGATTTTCTGTTCTGAAACCAATAGAAGACGTTGGCGTCGCCAACTTGACCGTACTCTTGGAGTTTAGCTCTGATGTTTCTAATCTCCTCTCTGGGAGGATTAACCATTCCAGAATTGAAGATAGCTTCAAGAATGCGTATTTGTTCCGGCTTGGGATTCCATCTCGCCTTTGGCTCTGGAGCGCTCCTCTCTTCACTCCCACCACCTGTTAAACAAGCTAATGTCTTGAAATTAAAAGACTAAGACGTACTATCTGTGATGTAAATATAAAATATAAATTTGGTATGACCTGAAGGAGGTGTTGACGGTGGTTTGAGGGAAGAGTTGAGAATGTCACGGTGGCGGTGCCATGGGTGGAGAGTGTTGCAGGGCTTGGACTTGAACATGCTAGGCCAGTGTCTCTTGGATGAAGACATTATATTGATGAATGATGAATGGATAGGATTCAAATGGAACCCCCAAAACCCCTCCTTTTATTTTGCTGCTCTCTCCCTCTCTTGTTTTTGACAATTCATAAGTCCAAGCTTCTCCTTCCTCCTATATATATATATATAATGCAACCACACCAAATTCATTGCCCTATTAGCCTTTTAATTTAATTTTTTTTTTTAATTAGCTATGAGCACTAATATAAGATGATTTTATGTTTTGTTGCCAACTAAAGAGGTCAAGTTTACTCAATTTAGACTCTCGGGGTATCCTTCATCATCTACAAAAAAAAAAAAATTACAAATCTTGTTTTTCTTCACTTTTTGATACCGTGTCAACTATTACATGTGGTAGGGAATATCCCGACCGATATATCTTTACCCCGGCCGGTGTGCCTTTGTCTTTTTCTTCTTGTCTTTGCAGGTAGCAGGTCGGGTTTTTATGGGAGACCCGGTCGGAACGCGACCGGGAATTACCCGAGCGGCTGTGTTGACCACCGAGCGGTAGCCCTCAGGCGAGAGAGCTGATGAAGGACACGTGGCGGCTCCACGCGACGACAGGCAGGGCACCCGGGAGGATGACACGTGGCTGCTACGTGGGAGGCATGCCGAACGGCTGGATTTGTGTCTCCGGCGCCGCGGCTATAAATACCCGCGATAGCTACAGTGTGAGGGACTTTTGGACGATCGATAGGTTGTTGTTAGAGATTCCCGACCGCAGTCAGTCGGTACTCAGAGCAACCAAGTAGATTATACTTAGGGCCTTCACCGTGATCAATAAAAGACATTTATTTGCTTTAATTGGTCTCGTATTTACTTTATTACTGTTTACGTAGCAATTAACAGTATCAACATGACATTTGGTTCGTAAAATACATACATTAAGAATGAAATGTCATTCCGTGGTATATGTCTATTTTGTTGTTTGGTTTGATTTTCACTCAGTGGAATATCATTCTTTCTCTTTATCTGGGAACAACCCTTCCCAATGCCTCCATTGGTCAGCTGCCCCCACTCTCCCCACCCCCACCCCTTATATAACCCTTGTATGTATATATGTATATTAGTACAATTTTTAGTATAAGTATTAAGAAATAGATAAATGTTACAAGAAGTTGGGTTAGCTTAGTTGGCTGAGTGCATGTTTGAAGTTATTGTAGGCCAGAGTTTTATATATATAATATTCATTTACATTAATAATGAGATGAGATGTGTAATTTATAGTGGATTTTTTTATTCAAATTATTTTATCAAATTAATTATGTTCATATTTTGTTATGAATAATTTTATAATGTTTTGATGTGTTTTATAATTTGCCTATATCCAACAATATTTATGACTATACTTTTTAAGTTTTTCATTTTTTTCTAATTATCATTTTTGGTTTAATATTTTATCCCCACTGAAAAAAAAAATTCTGAGTCCGCCACTGGGCGTCGAAATAGCAGCGTCGGATTCTGGCGGGATGCTACGGCGGTGAAGGCTGCTGCAGTGACAGAGAAAGCGCAGGCAGATTAGACGCTTCCCAAGCAGTGCTCCAAATATGATAAAGCACTGCAACTACTTTAACAAGAATATCCGATGTTAACACGCACATAGCATTCTGTAAAAGATCCTCCAACCACACAAGAAATCGAAAGGTGGGAAACATTCCAAACAAGTCTAGCATATTCACAATCAACAAGAGAATGCATAATATCTTCATGAAAAACAAGACACGGGGCATGAAGGGCTCACTTCTACCCTCCTTAATAGGAGATTTGTGGTAGTAGGGAGAATACCATTTATAGCTCTCCAAAGGAAAGTCTTACACTTGTTGTTACTTTCAATTTCCACAATGCAGTCCATTTATTTGAATGTGTTTGTTTTGAATAGAAGCATTTTGATTGTTTAAATGATATATATTCTTTTTCTATTTAATAGTCCAACCAAAGACAAAAATATGATCTTTATATAATGTCATGTTTATTTACTTATGAACCAACAATAGAATAATATTCATATTCTATTCATTTATTATTTCATTCTTATTGAAATTATATTCTATTCTTTTTATTTTTATTATTTGAACCAAACGTCAAGAAATGACAATCAAATTTGTATAAATAATAAATAGTTTCAAAAACGTTATTACAATTTTTATTTGTAAGAGTGGTTGCAATAAATTTTGTGTATCAAGGAAGTTGGAATATATAATTATACAAAAATTATTTGATGAAAGGTTTTGATTTTTAATTTTAGGCACTGAGATATGGTGAAGAGGGTAGTAAATGAATTAAATGAAGGGAATTGGAACGGGGAGATCCATCGATTAAGGAGAGACTTTTGGATTTCTGATGCATCCCTAGATTTCCACGTCCATCTGTATGTGTTTGGCCAGGAACACAGCATTAAATTTGGAGATTATTAATGGTTTTGGTCTGTCTGATCTGATCCCGACAGGGGAATTAAGTTCATAAACTTTTTTAGCATGCCAAACATCCAAAAATGAGGTATGAGTTTTCCGAAAGGGTATTTAACTAAGTGAAATATAACTCTTGTATTAAACAATTGAACGTTACGAGTTTAATTGTTATTACAAAAATTATTTATTCTATATAGTAAAAAAAATATGAGAAATGAACGAAAAACAAAAAAACAAAAGCAAAAGGAAAAGAGAATAAAAAAACAAGAAGGGAACAACTCTAAATAAGTTGGTCGAATAGTTAGCTTGATAACTACAAGATTACATGTTTGACTATCGCCCACAAGTGCTAACAGATTGCCTAATTAAATCTTCACAATGTCCTTTAGGGATGTAGTTGACCATTCCTATATTGGTTTGGTTTTATTTTTGGATTGTAAACACCTCATTCTTTGTGTATGTGGTACATTATATGTTCGTAGAGATACTAACTGTTCAGCCCATACTTTAGCCTAGGCATATGGGGCAATTCAAGACTGGGTGTACGATTTGGAATGATGTTCCTCCAAAAACTTTTTAGCCTCCATTTTTAGGTAATATAAGATTTGCTTGCTTAAAAAAAAAATCTAAAGTTGATACTCCTGTAAACAATATTTTCATTAAGTCACTTTAATGTGGTGCAAGTTTAATTGAGCACTTTATGACTATTAAGTGATAGCATTAATATTGTAACGGAAATAACGTTTTCCGTTACAAAGCCTATATTGATGGCATATAAGGCTATATAAGTTTAGGTCCTACCACTGCTCCGGAACACCTGAAACACACTATCTATACTGTCCGGAGAAAAAGTGGGAGACAACGTTACTATGCAGGAATTGCTACTACGATTATTCACAACGCAATACACAAAGCTATCAACTATGGCTGGAGTTTTGCTCAATTCTTATGCTTCCGCTACGAGGTTAGATCATTACAATTATAATATTGTATAATTATTCTAACAACTCCTAGATAATTAAGATAAGTTACTATGGTACATACAAATGGTAAAATCTAAATTAAGTACAGTTACCAAATAACAAAAACATAGTTTAATAATTAACCAATAATTATATATGGAGAAGTCCTTTTAGGTACCATATTTTCCTTTTAGTTGTTGATTTAATTTGGGAAAGTAGTAGTGGTCTTCCACCATAATAACACTATTATATTTGCCGTGCTCCTTTATACCTCTTCCATCACAATAATACCATTCCAAAACCCTAATTCTTAGTCCATGCCTCCGCCATCTCCTCCGGTTTTTGGAGCTCTTGTATATATCCATGTAATAATAAACTTAGCCCTAAATTCTTTTTTTGGTTTGTTCATATGTCACGGTCCGACTAATTCGAATTCGGTCTGAATCATGCAGAGGAGTCGTTGGTAAACTAAATTTTGTACTGTTCACTAAATTTTAGAGCGTTTATGAATTTGTTTCTTTCCTTTCTTGGTGCAGTAAAGAAGGTACAGAATGACGGTGGGAGAGGAAGGCAACCGCCCTGCCTGCGCCGCATGCAAGCACCAACGGAAAAAGTGCAGAGGGGAAGCCTGTGTTCTGTGGCGTCACTTTCCGGCATCCATGATGAAAGAATTTCAGGCGGTTCACGGAGTTTTCGGCATAGCCAATATATCAAAGATCATCAAAGGCTTGGACCCGGTTCAACAGGACATAGCCGTCAAGTCGTTGTTGTGGGAAGCCAAAGTGTGGAAGGAAGACCCGGCTCAAGGCCCACTTGGCCGGTTCAAAAGGTTAGAGCGAGAGCTTTTCTTCTTAAAGAATCAAATAAACATGCTTCAATCGCGGCCGTTGATCACTGCGCCACCGCTACCCTGGCCGGAGACCTACCCATCACACGGCGGCGTTGGAAATTTTAGTTTCCATCCTAATTACACCGGACAACATAGGATGAGTAATGGCCATGGCCATGAATTTCAACAAATAATTCAACCGAATTTTGGTCGGACCGGGTTTAACCACCAAAATAACAACATGCAGACACAAAATGCCAGAAATGTGATGAACCCTAGACCGCTTCAGCAACATCTACCGCCGCCGTACCATAATAGTTTCGGACATAATAAGGAAAACGCACTTGTTCCTTACGCTAATAACGTTGGGATTAGTGGACAAGATCGTCGGAGTGTCATCCATGTCGGTAATGTTGTTAGACCAAGCCGTTTGCCGGCCGGTCCTGCGGTGCCATCCAGCCGGTCCATTGTTACTGTAAAACAGGGTGATGAAGATGAAACTGGGGACAATGAAGCTAGAGAACTTGTTGCTGCTCTTTATTATGATCATCAACTTTTGAACAGCACTAACCAAAATTATGTCCAAGGTACGTAAATTAACATAGTGCTACCTAATTTGTCACTTTTAGTTGGAGTTGGAAGCCCCGTATACTAAATTAAGAATCTGTATCCCACTACATGAGATCGTATGGAGCTGTTTGAAAATTGGAGAATATATGAAAAAAAAAATTATATTTACTAACACAGTTTTTCTGGGAATATTCTTCAATTTTCTAAAAAATTAGAGATTTTTTTTTCTATTTTCTAAATGGAAGATAAAATATCTATCTCTATTTGATTATATATCATTATAATCACATTTTTACTGTTATTTACTTACATATTTATCAATTATTATGACTATATTTATTACATCTTCTTTTACTTATCATTATCTCCCACATTTTTTTTTACTTACATTTACTTATATAAACATAAATTATTTGCTTACACGAGACATTTGGTTGCAAGGGGGAATTAGTGGGAAAATTAATTGTAATTCCATGGGAGAGTAATAATGTGTGAAGAATGTGTACGATTGAAGCATATATATATATATATATATATATATATATATATATATATATATATATATATAAAGAGAAAGAGAGAGTCAGGTTCCTATGTGAACCGTGCGGACGTGCGGTCATGCACCATTAGGTTGGCATAAATGCACCATAAAGTGTCTGAAAAGACACCATTATGTGTGGTGCATTTTTGGTGTGATGTATTTTGTGGGATTTTATTCTGGTGCATTTTTGAACACTGTGTGGTGCATTTATGCATACTTAATGGTGACATCCGCACGGGAAGCCCGGCATGTTCTCATTTGAATATATATATATATATATATATATATATATATATATATATATATATATATATATATATATATATATATATATATATATATACACACACACACACACACACACATTATAAGTGTAGAAATTTATAGAATCTTTTAAAATATAGGATTGCATAGAATTTTAGGAAGGATTTTAGAGATATAATCATAGTTATACAATCGGGTAGATCTTCACCCTCCCTTGAGGAGGTGGAGTAAGTATAAATAACCTCATAGGGCTCATTCTATAACAATCGAAGTCGTTTCAACATATAATTCAAAAATAAAATCTTTTTTTTTCTAAAATTAAATCATGATTTGTATCACGTCCTAATAATTTATATCACAACCTAACTATGTTTTTGTTATTTGGTAACTTAATTTAGATTTTAACATTTTATGTAACATAATAACTTATATTAATACCTAGAACTATGTACTCTAATTTAGATATTTTTTTAAAGCAAACAAATCTTATATTACCTAAAAATATAGGCTAAAAAGTCTCTCTAAATCAAATTTAATATTTTGATTGATTAAACAGCATCATTCTCCCAAATATTTAAACGAAGATCTTTCTGGCCACCAGTCACGATTTTGTATGCATCCATACCTAAGAGATTAACGCGTCCTCTGTTTCAGTGCATTTAATTTCCTAATATTCCAAAGCATTGCCTTGTGAAAATATTAAGATCAGCATAACAGTAATGAATTAATTTTACTTTTGGCCCCACGACTTTTGATGTTCTATCACTTTTGGTGCACAACTTTAAAATTTTTTAATTTTGGTGTCTAACTTTGTTATTTTTATCAATTTTGGTCCTTTCCGCCAAATTGACAGCGAAATGTTGCTGGATTTTATATTGTTAGGGGTAAAATCGTCATCCCAAGGAAACATCTTCAATATCTAAACAAAATCACCGTAAAATCATATCTATAGGTGTTTGATTATGGGCAGAAACCAGACAGATCTATGGGATTTATAGTTTCGACCATTGACAAACTCTTCTTTTCCTCTTAATATGATTTTTCTTTTGTTTAAATATTGAAGATCTTTTCATGGGATGACGATTTTGCCCCTAAAATATAAAATCTGGAAATATTTTACCGTCAATTTGGCTAGAAGGACCTAAACTGATATAAATAACAAAGTTAGGCACCAAAATTGAAAAAATTTAAAGTTGTGCACCAAAAGTGATAAGAACTCAAAAGTCGTGGGACCAAAAGTGAAATTAATTCTAACAGTAATATACTAGGTTGCATGATTAGACGTCATCCTATGACACGGGAATTACATTAAGGGGTCGTTTGGTTCATGGAATGTCAGATTACCTTAGGGAATATTGCTGGGAATGTTTAGATTACTGGGAATGTTAAATTCCCGTGTTTGGTTAAAATTGGGGTATGTAATATAATCATGTTTGGTTTAGGGTTATCTTTTATACACACTATAATATCCTTAACATATTTTCATATATTTTAATAAATTTAAAAATTAAAATAAATAAATAAGATAATGGTATCATATATAATTACATGATTTTAAAATATTAACTAAAATCTTGAACTTGAGAAACAAAATTATTTTATATGCTAATATAACATAATAAAAATAAAAAATATATAATTATATATATATATATATATATATATATATATATATATATATATATATATATATATAATAAACTAACATAACCAAGATTATCTTACATTACCTAAGATTTTGAAGGGAATCACATTCCCTTCAAAATCCTATGTGGAAGGAATGTGACATTCCTTGGCCATGGGAATGTTAGATTCCCTAAGATAATATGAACCAAACACCGGAATGCATGTGAGCTTTGGAATGTCACATTCCCTTGGTTATGTTATATAACCTGAACCAAACGCCCTCTAATATTCTCATTTAACGGACTTCTAACCCCTAATATATCGGAGGACCAAAATAGTTAACATTTTCAAAGTCAAGGACTTAATTAGGTAAGAAAAATTGTCGAGGACCAAATTGGTAATTTCGCAATAGTTGAGGGATCATTTCAGTAATAAACTCTATTTTAATTATTAGTTTAAAAAATATTAATATTAGCTAAACTAATTTTATGTTAATTTAATAGGTTATTGGATCCAATATACTTTTGCTTATGTTATATCTTAATATAAATTGTAAAATCTTACATTTTTTGTTTTGAATGACAAAATCTTACATTTTTTATGATTGACAAAATCTTACATTTATTAGACATAAAACTTAAAAGTAAAAATTATATTTATTCTATTTAAACCAAATATATCTAAAAATATTTTAGATATGTCCAAATATGTCCCCCAAAAAAAATATTTTAAATATAAGGTCCACAAAAAATCACTCAAAATTGAACTTCTGTTAATTTTATAACATTTGTCTAAACAAATAAATTTTAAAAAATTGAGTATTTATAAAACAAATATTCTAAACTGAAAACAAAGAATAAAAAATAAATAACGAAAACTAAATTCTTTGTAGGTTATGAAAGTTAATCAAACAAGAAGACCGTGATATATGAAGGATAATTCTCTTGGATAGTAGTAGCTCTAATACTAATTAGATCAACTAATGTTGGATTCGACTCTTCAAAGTCTCTAGCTAATAGTATGTATATTCTATATATATGGTGAGATAAGTACTGTTTTTCAAAGTGTTACATTTTTTTTTTTCAAAAAAAAAAAAAAACATCGTATTACATATTTGAAATTCGTCTTACACAAGTTATGGTGGTCTATAAAAGCTTATATTAACATTATAAGGTGGATAAAAGATTGTCAAGATAATTGTTGTCGAGATCCAAAAACTCCGATCCATTACATCTATAATATCATTTTGCGTGCTGAAAAGTTAGTTTCTACTAATCTTTTTTGGGGAGTTCGAGTCTTCATGCATAAATTTTCAAATCCCTCCCATTTCCTGCAAGCCCTTTACTTTGGATTGCAAGTTATCTCACCATGTTCATGATAAGAACCTTGTGAATCATTATTTATTTCAGGAAGACAAGAAATCTCTAAGGCTTTAGTCACCGTTTTAAATGGGAAGTTCAAATGTGCCTTGGGGCCTCGTATTCTCAAAGCAGCTTTGTCATAAGCCATGGCTGCATCCTTGGCCGTGTCAAATGTCCCAAGCCAAACCCTAGCTCCTTTTCTTGATGAGTCTCTTATCTCCGCCCCGTATTTCCCCCACGGCCTTCTCCTCACCCCTCTGTAATGTTTCTCCACCACCTTCTTCTCAACTCTCTTTTCCAATTCACCATTGCATGTTGATGAGGAACAAGACGACAATTCTTCATGATGCTTAAAATCATGCTCTGATACCATATTAGAAACAAGCTTATTATCGTTACAGGGAACAACTATTCCATCAAGGAGTTGTTCCCATGCCTCGGCCCCCATTGATATCCACCTTCCAAGACTTGGCAACCTCTGCAGCAGAACTTTCTCCATTGATGAAACATCTCCACCATCAAGGTTTGGAAGTTGTTCCCAATTTTCTTTTCCATTTCCTTCCGCCTCACCTTTGGCTATAAAGTTTGCCCAAACATTCTCTAATATTGCTTCAGATGCTACTTGTTGCTGCTCTCTCTCCCCATCCATTTCCCCAAAACTTCTGATCTATAATAACCAGAAGATAATGCAATGTCATATATATAACCTTATTTTATGATTTGGTCTTAATTACCAGCTAAGATACATGCACTTTAATTAATATAATCCTAAGCTATGAATGGAGGCCAACAAGAAACTTGTAATGCAAACTATGACTAAGCTAAATTAAAGGATAATATACTCGGATTTTGACAAATTGAGAAAGGTGCTTAATTAGGCCTGCCATTTTCATGAATATAGTAATCAATTATGTACATTGTGTGCTTAAGAAGAAATATTTAATTTGAAGGCATCTTATATTGGAAATCCTGTCTGTACTTGACGATGAATAAGGAAGATAACACAAAAAAGAGTTGGTTTGGCACTAGTTCTATGTATCTGACACAATCTGTGGGGTGACTCTACTATTAAGTAAAAATTCATTGTATATCTATCCGAATTCTCTTAACCTAAATTGAGTAAATTCTCAAGATCGATTATGTTATAATGAAGAAATACAAAATCTTCAGGGTATGTTGAGAGCAACACTTCTTAATTAATTTTTTTTGGGGGGAAATGGCAATCGTTATTCCTGAGGAAAATAATATTTTTTTTTCCCCATAATTAATCGTTGCAAAGTGGTTATTTCATTGCATAGTGACTCTTTTGTTTCCGAATTTTGTTAGAGTTGGGTTAAAAAATATTGGAAAAAATAACATATAATAAATGAAGCTTTAAAGGCTATTTGTGGTATAAATATAAGTGGTCCACTTCCGATTTAAATTAGTACAAATTGGATTCGGGTTAGTTCTTTGTAATGAGACAAAGAGATTGATATATTATTGTACGTTTAAAAACGAATAATGAATGAATGAGAAATTGATTCTCAAAGTAGCTAGATCGGTTGAGTTGGAAAGTGAAGGTATGTAGAAGGGCTTGTAAGTGGCCTTTATCCTAGATTGAGAAAAAACATGAATTTGCACTCCTATATATACAATATCTTTTTAGAGATAGTTGAATTGTATAGCGACACTAATTGAAAACGAAAAGTGTCATTTTCCTTATTTTTAAAAATTACAGTTTGGATTGAAAGCATGAGATTGATTCATCGTTCATATACTAGCTTCAAGACCAACAGTACAATACCTTTAGTCAACCATGTCCAAAATGCCAAATTTAACACCACCATTAATCACTACTAGAAAACTAAGAATTTCTTACCCTAAAAAATAAAAAATTCACAGTTTGTGCAAAAAAAAAAAAAAGAATAATAATAAAAAATTACAACCACTTTATGAATTCAAAAGATTGTACTAACCATCAATCAAAGTTGTGACACATTTTTTTTTTTGACTGACGGGAGAATCCATAACTAGTACCTAATGCTTGATGGTGTGTCACTGTGTAGGGTAAATTTCGTTTTTGCTAAATAGTTAATAAATCACATATAAGAGATAAATCGTACTAGAAATACCATGTACAATGAATTTGATCGAGAGAGTGTTGACAATAATTTATCTTGTGATAATTTAATACCAAAATAATGTTTCACTCACTTGATCACCAATTAAAGTTTCTTCACATTTAACCTTTGAAGTTGCCGCCTTTAAGTAAGAAGATTATTCTTTGTGTGTGTGTGAGAAAGAGAGAGACAAAAGGGATTTGATTGGGTGTTGTTATTTGCTTAATTTGTGCTCCATCTCAACTAAAAGTCTAAGCTGATAGTTGGATTGCACATTAATGGTTATATACTCAACATGTTTCACCCTTTAGTCAAAAGTGGGTATAAAGTACATTGGAATTGTAAAAATGTAAAAATATTCAATAATTACATAGGTGGTGTAAATAACCAAATGGGTGTTCATATTGCTATTTGCACCACTTTGGTCAAACGTCATTTACGATGTGTAATTAATAATTTTTGAATTCAAATTTAATTAATTAAAACATTAAAAAAAAACGTCGCCTCCTCCGGAGAAGGTGAGGGGTTTTAGTTTTTTTTTTTTTTTTTTTTTTTTTTTTTTAATTAATAGTTTGATTATTAAATAAAAATAATGCTAGCACCTTGTGCTCAAATGACATGTAGTGACTAGTCATGAGATCGAGCCTCAGTGGAGGTGGTGGTGTTGACTCTTCGTGCTTCAACAGGTTGAGAAAGTATAGATGAACAGATACTACAATCTAATAGAGTCAGTAGCTCTCAAAGAAAAAAATAAATAATAAATATTAATGTTTGATTACATTTAATGAAGGTGGTGCAAATAGAAAAATGATATTTACACCACCTATAAAGTTATTACACTTATTAAACGAATTGTGCAAATAACAAATAGGATGGTGCAAATAGAATTTCCCATTTGATTATTTAGAATAGTGAACCCTACCAAAAAAAAAAAGAATAGTGAAGTCCCCCCCCCCCCCCCCCCCCTTTCAAATTGCACTTCTATTAAATATGGGCACCTTTAATTTCTTGTCGTAATTAAACTAAGCATAAAAGAAACATCCAATTGAATAACACCTGATATCTTAAATCTAAAAGTAAAATTATAATAATAAATCAAAAATTATAATATATCACTTCTGTATCATGTATAGATCAAACGTTTGCCACACCACCTAAAGTTATAACGAGTATGTAGTGAATGTGACGTTACGTTTCAATGGTAGAATGCTAGACTCAACCCTGCTCCAGCTTCTTGAACTTTTTATTTCACTCGTTTTTTTTTTTTTTTTTTTTAGTGATTTCAAACTTATGACCTCCCATTTAGGAGTCACGATTATACAACTTGACCACAAGATCTTTGGCTTCTCATCCCCTCGTATATATTAATTAATAAAATAATAATTATTATTATAATTATAATAACAATTATAATATCATTCTTACGTAAAGAAGTTGAGGAAATAGTCTTCAATGTGGGCTGCGCTATGTTGATTTATGCAATGAGTTGATATGGAGGCCTAATGATTAATGAACAGTTGGGTGTTGACAAAAACCGCAAACTTAACGGCTTATTGCCGATGCAATACATGATCTTATGCCGCATGCCATTGCGGCGATTAGATTAATTATATATATATATATATATATATATATATATATATATATATATATATATATATATATATATATATATATATATATATTGTTAAATGTATTTGAAAGTATGGTAAAACTTAATTAATTACTCCCTACTTGCAATTTTGTATTGACTTTGTTGTAAAATAAAATTAAAAAAATTAAATATATATTTAATTTTTACAACAAAGTCAATACAAAATTGCAAGTAGGGAGTAATTAATTAAGTTTTACCATTGTGGTTGAAATTGTAAAAATTAAATAGTAAAAAGTCCACTTACATACTGTGGTTAGATATATAATTATTATAAGATGAAGTAAGATCACACCATATTTATATAATACTATTAATAAGTAGTTGAAATTTATAAGTTTTAAGCTCAAAAAAAAAAAAGGCCGGCCATCATCACTGCCTCTACCCTGGAGACGGGTAAAGAAGATAAATCGCATGATGTACATCAACTGGCCTATAAATTTTCAAACTAGCTAGCTAGCTAGCTAGGTTGAAATTTATACATATAACAATCTCTTTGTGGGGTGTACGTATCATATGAATATTTTATTTATTTATTTTTTCATACGACTATCCATTATTGTAAGATTAATCTGAGTTTATTATAGGTCACATTTACATTAGTAGCTCGCCTACTAATTGTGCAAAATTATTGGGTTATGAATATTTTTATTTAGTTTATCTATCACGTTTAGTTCTACTCTTTTAATTTTATTTTATTACATCTTTAATTTTTATTTAGTTGCTACCATTAATTTTCTTTTCAAATTTAAAAAATGCATGATATTAAATTTCCCGAGCAAGTGGTGACTTTATTATTTTTATATATTTTTATAGTAGTTAAAATTGATGATATAACGGCGGTCGACTAGGTAATTGAATATTCAATAATGTTCTAATCAAATGGAGATCAAAGAAAACGAAATATATAATGACAGTCGATATATTAGCTATATAAATAGGCCGGTAGGGGAGACAGTAATGTCCTCATCATCATCATCATCATCAAGAAATTAAAACATGAATACATCTTTCCCTTGCAGCTGCCTTTTCTGGCTTCTTATTACAGTACTTGTTCTCCTTCAAAATGCCTCAGCTTTAACCCATCTGCATAGGCCATTCAACAATACCATTTCGGCGGTTTTGATCTTCGGAGACTCCACCGTCGACTCCGGCAACAACAACTACATAACAAGCGTCACTAAGTGCAACTTCCCACCTTACGGAGTTGATTTTGATGAGAACCACACCCCTACCGGAAGGTTTTCTAATGGCCGTATCGTCACCGATTATATGGGTATATTACTCTTAAATAAGAGAGATTAATTTAGTCGAGTCTCAATCTAAACTATTGCATGCATAATATGTGTTGGGCAGAGGCCGGTAAAGACCAAATCTAGCGGACAATGTCTCGAAAATGTGTGGCGATAAAATTATGTCATTGCTACTAGCTATAGTTTTTTTGGGCAAGTGGTAAAACGTTTGATCCTAATAATATGATTGGTTTGTTTGGAACAGCTTCGTATATGGGAGTGAAAGAGTACGTGCCACCCTACCTGGACTCGACTCTCACCACCGCTGAGCTGATGACCGGCGTCACTTTTGCCTCCGGCGGCTCTGGATATGATCCCCTCACTCATCAAATAAGCGTCTCTCTCTCTCTCTTTCACTCTCCATATGTATATATGTGTCTGTGCATGTGGGTCAGTTAGGTTGCATTTTGCTCGTTTACGTGACAAATTAAACAAACTGTCTCACAATTTTCATTATAAAAACTACTGCAACTACACTCCAAACCAATTAATCTCATCAGTAAAAATCCATCCTAATCTCACGCAGTCCAATGTAATGAGAGACTATCACATGAGTTTAGAAAGACGTGAACTTAGATTCTACAGTACTAATTTCATATTTGAC